GAGTGTGAGCGCGCTTGGGGGCGGGGCCACGACCATCTGAGGGAAAACCATAGAGTTTTCCCTCGGATGACCATGGCCCCGCCCCCAGCGTGCCTGGCGTGCTCGCGTCACTTCCGGGAGACGTGCACGTCGGGGTGGAGTTCCCCCCGGGGCCCGATCCGCCAGCGGTGGGGAACAGGCCTCTGGGGCGGGGGTTTCCCTGCCCCCCAGGGGGACTTGGCAGGCCTAACACCTGGGCTCGGCTCATGTGGCTTCGGCCAGCTCTCGCAGGCCACAGAGGAGGGAACTCCTACACATTTAAGCTCTTACGAAACGCAGAGGTCCCGGGCTGCGCCCTTCTCCTCGCTGGCCAGCCGGCCACCTCTTTTAATCCTTGCTCCACACGACCTCTTCTTAAAGCCTTTCGCGAAGCATTAGAGCCTCGCCTTTTCTGCTGCCAGCTGACCCCACTGCACTAATCTGGGTCCAAGGCCAGCTGCCTCCCGTGCCCTCTTGGGTGAGCCCGGTTTCACCCTCGGGGAGGCGGAAAGCATCCCTGCGAGGGCTTTCTTCGGCATGAGTCTCGGCGGAGATGCAATGAGCAGTGCATCACGAGAGCCAGGACCGATGTTCCCTCTAAGCTGTGGAGTCTTGTGAGCAACAATTCTACTTTGTGAGCTCCTGCCATTAAAGCTGTCAGTGAGTGATTTGGCTACTGCACAAATTAGTTTGCTCTGGAGCCATCCTTCCTGAGCTAAGACAAAAATATGTGAGCCGGAGGCTAAAAAACTGTGAGCTAGCTCACACTGACTCAGCTTAGAGGGAACACTGGCCAGGACCCATAACATGATAAAAGGGCAGCTCACAGCCAAAGCAGAAAACTTTTAACAATAAATTAGCTTCATGGTCCCCCGCCTTTTTGAACCGGTGGGCACCAATACAATTCTCAGAGGGAGTGGAGAGCACCGCCCCAAAATGGCTGCCACAGGATTTTGGAACTAGATCCTAAAATGGCTGCCCCGGGAGACAGCCAAAGGCAGTGCCTTCCTTTCAGCTTTGCAGCCGTGGGAAACCCTTTCCTCTGAAGGAGACGACAGCCAATAGCAAGCTCTGCCTTACAACGGTTCCACCCACTTTCTGAAAACTTTGAGTGGACACCAAGGGACGTATTGGTGGGCGCCACATTGGGGAGCCCTTAATCGGCTTTTCCCCAAGACCGGTTGGGGGCAGCATGATAACAAATCACTCCAATCAATCTGCAGGGGAAGGGAATGGATCTCCAGTCCTGGCCCCACTGCTGGACCTCCTGATGGCACCTGGTGTTTTTGGCCACTGTGTGACACAGAGTGTTGGACTGGGTGGGCCACTGGCCTGATCCAACACTGGCTTCTCTTATATTCTTATGTTCCTGTGTATCTAGTTCAGAAACCAGTCATGTGAACTGGGACCAGTTCCGGGCATTTTGTCATCTCTCACTTCCTGGGTCTGTGATACTGGATCTCTCAAACATCTCTCAAACATCTCTCAAACATCTCTCAAACATCTCTCAAACATCTCTCAAACATCTCTCAAACATCTCTCAAACATCTCTCAAACATCTCTCAAACATCTCTCAAACATCTCTCAAACATCTCTCAAACATCTCTCAAACATCTCTCAAACATCTCTCAAACATCTCTCAAACATCTCTCAAACATCTCTGCTGGTTAACTACATTTGCACACAGCCATTAGGTATAGGAGCATTTGTTAGCTGGGTGGGGGAGCCCTCTAGTTCACAGGCAAAGGGATCATTCATAGATTCATAGATTGTTAGAGCTGGAAGGGACCTTGCAGGTCATCTAGTCCAACCCCCTGCACTCTGCAGGAGCATAGCCAAAAGACAACCCTACAACATACCCAAAAGATAGTCGTCCAGCCTCTGCTTGAAAACGTCCAGCGAAGGAGCATCCACCACCTCCCGAGGCAGTCTGTTCCACTGCTCAACCTCCCTTACAGTTAGGAAGTCTCTCCTGATATTGAGCCGGTATCGACTCCCTTGTAATTTCCACCCCTTAGATCTAGTCTTGCCATCCGGAGCAAGAGAGAATAGATCCGCTCCATCTTCTACATGACAGCCCTTCGAATACTTGGAGACTGCAATCCTGTCCCCTCCTAAGCCTTCTCCTTCCCAGGCTAAACAGACCCAACTCTTTCACCCTTTCCTTGTGTGAGACAACCTGGCCAGCAAACGGAATGAGCACTTAATAAAAAATCGATTTGGAAAGGGTGTTCATATTCTGGAATAATCTCCCTGGATCTACTTTGGGGGTGGGGGTGGTCAAAGAACCCCGCTGGCCTAGCTAGGTCAAGGGGAGGTTTCTCCCCACTGCCCCGCTCCAAAAACTGTTTTTACTCTATTCTCCCCTCTTGCCTAGGATTTCCAGCTCTGGGTTGGGAAAAACCCTGGAGGTTTTGTGGGTGGAGCCTGGGGAGGGTGGGGTTTGGGGAGGGGCCTCCGCTGGGGTTAATGCCATACAGGCCACCTCCCAAAGCAGCCATTTTCTTCAAGGGGAACTTCCTTCATGGGGGGGATTATTATACCCTATGGGGACATAATTGAGCTGAATGTGATCCGTCCGTCCGAATGCCACCCCAATCGGCTTGCATTGCAAAAAGTCGCATTCGGGGGTCATTCGGCATCCATTCGGGGAATCCCTGTTCGGCCAGTCGAATCAGATTACAGAATTTGATTCGGCTTTCGGTTTGCCGAATAATGCCGAATAGGCATTATTTGGGGTTTCCCCCCCAGTTCATCTGAACCGAATGCACATCCCTAGTGTCCACCCTCCAAAGCACCCATTTTCTCCAGGGAAGCTTTCCTCTGTAGTCTGGAGATGAACTGTAATTATGGGGGACCCCCAGGTCCCACCTGGAGGCCGGCACCGCTAGCTAATACATAGCTGGGTCCAATGGAAGTCATGCAGTTAAACAGATGTGATAGAATGAGTTATGGCAGAGGTGTCAAACTAATTTGTCATGACATAATCGTCACTTTGACGGGCCAGGCCATGTGTGCCATAAAATGTAACGCCAGGTACCGGAAATATAAACTGTATAAAGGACAGCAGCTGGTAAGCTCCAAGTTGGTGTGTCCTCGCTGCAAGGCCCCATGGGCTGGGAGGGGGGTGCAAAGGAAACCCCACACGGGTGGACTGGAGAGCCAGTGGTACAGCACTGGGCAGACGTTCCCACACTGCTTGACTGCTGCAGACGAGGTTGTTCCACCATGCGGAAGCCACAATCGGAGGGGCTCCCCCCACTCCCCCCTCAAGCAGTCTCCTGTTCCCTCCCTTGCACTAGTTGCTCACGGGCCGCGTAAGAGCCCTGGGCAGGCCGGTTCTGTCCCCCGGGCCTTACGTTTGACACCCCTGAGTAACGGGGTCTCTTCAAAACAAAAGAAGTGAAAAAATGTCTTTTGTGTTGATCATTGGTTGGTGTTTTCCCTTCCTCAGCAGGGCATAATGTCACTGAGTCCACCCTCCAACACGGCCATTTTCTCCAGGGGAACTGGTCTCTGTAGTTTGGAGATCAGTTCCAGAGGGTAGCTGTGTTGGTCTGGGATAGGACGGCTAGATATTAGTCCAATATGACCATAGAGACCAACCAGATATTCGGGGTACCCGCTTTTGAGAGCCAAAGACTCCGAAAAATCTTGTTGGTATCTGGACTCGAATCTAGAGATCAGTCGAACGAAATTTGGGTCCAGTGACACCTTTAAGACCAACCAAGTTTAATTCTGGGTAGAACATAAGAACATAAAGAGAAGCCAATGTCGGATCAGGCTAATGGAAAGGAGGGCCAATATTAAAACCTTTTCATAAAAAGAGGTACATGTATTTATTGATAATATCAAATTAAAACATATATAGGGGCCCAATTATAACCAATATATATAAAACATAACCATAACCAGGGCTAAAAGAGTTGACCTGACGCGTTTCGGCCGAATCGGCCTTCCTCAGAGGTCATACAAGTGTGGCTAGATGGTAAATAGTTACATTCATAAAAACACAATCAGGAATATATACAAACTATAAATTCAACAAGGACCATAAAGTAAATTGTTCAGAAGTAAAATAACCAGGCACAGGATAAATATGCACATGAAACCTTTTTAGTGCAATCACTAGCCCAGTGATTATAAAATCCACCTATGGTCCACAAATAACCTTCTTTGAGTGGGTTGCCACAATATTCACAAGTAAAAACACTGCCAGGTAACTCCATGTGTTCATCACTCTTTGGGTGAAGAAGGACTTCCTTTTATCTGTTCTAACCCGACCGCTCAGCAATTTCATGAAGTGCCCACAAGGAGTTCTTGTATTGTGAGAAGGGGAGAAAAGTACCTCTTTCTCTACCTGCTCTATCCCATGCATAATCTTGTAAACTTCGATCATGTCACCCCTCAGCCGTCATCTCTCCAAGCTAAAGAGCCCCAAGAGCTTTAACCTTTCTTCATAGAGAAAGTGTTCCAACCCTTTTATCATCCTAGTTGCCCTTTTCTGCACTTTTCCCAATGTTATAATATCCTTTTTGAGGTGTGGTGACCAGAACTGTACACAGTATTCCAAATGAGGTTGCACCATCGATTTATACAGGGGCATTATGATACTGCCTGATTTGTTTTCAATTCCCTTCCTAATAATCCCCAGCATTATTGCAGTCGCACACGGCCTCGACATTTTCAGTGAGTTATCTACTACAACTCCAAGATCCCTCTCTTGGTCAGTCTCTACCAGACTATACAAATTAAACTTTGTCGGTCTTAAAGGTGCCACTGGATTCAAACTTGGTTCTGTTGCTTCAGACCAACATGGCGACCCACCTGAATCTAGATTGTAATGCCAGGAAATCTCCAGGCCCCACCTGGAGGTTGGCAGCCCTGGCAGTAATTAAAACTGGGTTGCCACCCGGGCATAGCTGCTCTCTGCTCCAAACGTATTTGTGTCCCCCCCCTCTCACAGGTGACCCACCTTCATCATGGACATCGGGGGTCTAGAGACAATGGTGGCCAACACGGCCTACGTGGCTGCCCGCGGGGACACCGGGATGACCTCTGGCCGGGACCGGAGGATGCGGGCCAGGCTGAAGCTGCCACACATCACCCAGTGTGAGCACCTCAAGGACTCCTTGGACCTGGACTTCCACTACATCTGCGTGAGGCAGCCAATCGGCAAGAAGCTCTTCCTAGAGTTCCTCGAGGAGACAAACGAGTTTAGGGCGGTGGGCAGCCTGTGGTTGGACATGGAGGCTTACGGCTTGGTCGACGCGTCCGAGAGGCCCCAAAACGCCCAGCAGAGCATCAACAAATACTTTGACTCGGCCTCCAAGGAGTTCTGTTCCTTCCTGGAGGAGAAGGCCATCATGAGGGTGAAGGAAGACGCCAAGCATGGACACGCTGACCTCTTCAAGGAGTCTGAGCAACACTTGCTGAAGTTCCTGGAGGAGAACGCCTTCGCCAAGTACAAGGAGAGTCTCCACTTTTCCCGCTTCCTCCAGTTCAAGTGGCTGGAGTCCCAGAGCGTGACGGAGGAGTGGTTCCTGGAGTTCCGGGTCCTGGGGAAAGGGGGCTTTGGGGAGGTGTGCGCCTGTCAGATGCGGGCCACGGGCAAGATGTACGCCAACAAGCGCCTCAGCAAGAAGCGGCTCAAGAAGCGGCAGGGCTACGAGGTGAAGAGCATACATTATAAAGCCGTTTATAATGTACTGTTGTGTTTTGACCCTGTTGTCCTTGGTTTTTCGTGGGGCGGGGAAAGGCGGCTCGTCGGTATTCTAAGTCAATCCAATTTTGGTGGTGGTGAGGCAATAGTGTTGCCAACTCCGGCGTAGGAAATTCCTGGAGATTTTGGAGGTGGAGCCTGGAGAGGTCGGGGTTCAGAGGGGGGAGGGACCTCAGCAGGATATTACGTCATAAAGTCCACCACCACCCCCGAAGCAGCCATGTCCTCCAAAGGAATTAGAGAGCCAGTCTGGTGTAGTGGTTAAGTGCGCGGAGTCTAATCTGGGAGAACCGGGTTTGATTCCCCACTCCTCCACTTGCAGCTGCTGGATGTCCTTGGGCAAGCCATAGATCTGTCAGAGCTGTTCTCTCAAGGACAGTTCTGGAAAGAGCTCTCTCAGCCCCACCTACCTCACAGGGTGTCTGTTGTGGGGAGGCAGGGCCGGCTCGAGGTGTTTCTGCACCCTAGGCGAGGCTGCCTTATGGCGCAGATGCCAACCTCTCTGGAGCCAGCCACCCTTTTGGTGCTGCCACCACCGCCTCCTCCCCCCCTGCCACCACCAAAGGGGGGGGAGGGGGGAGGCACAGCTTGGAGCCCCATCCAGGGCCCGGCGCTCTAGGCAAAGGCCTAGTTCACCTAGTGTGTGAGCCAGCCCTCTGGGGAGGGAAAGGGAAAGGAGTTTGTAAGCCACTCTGCGACTCCAAGTGAAGGGTGGGGTATAAACCCAATCTCCTCCTCCCCCTCTTCTTCTTCTTCTTCTTCTTCTTCTTCTTCTTCTTCTTCTTCTTCTTCTTCTTCTTCTTCTTCTTCTTCTTCTTCTTCTTCTTCTTCTTCTTCTTCTTCTTCTTCTTCATCATCTGGAGATCAGTTTTAATTCCAAGAATTCTCTCGGCTCCACCTGGAGGCTGGCTTCCCTACGAAGCAACCCAGATTGCAGGGCACAAAAAGGCCATGATTTTGCCACCCTCACGGTTTTGGGGGGTGGGACATGGGCCGGGCTGAGAGATCACTTCTTCTGCAGTAATGGGCTGCTTTGGCAGGTGGGGGTCTATGGCATAATACTGCGCTGAGGTTCCTCCCCTTCGCACCCCCTGCTCTCCCCAGGTTCTGCCCTCGAAGTCTCCAGGAATTTCCCACCCCAGAGCTGGAAAACCAGCCCGGGAGAGTCATTCCTGTGGGCAATGCAGCTTCTCAGGTCAGCAGGCCCCAGAGCACGGCAGCACTTCAGGTGGGGAACCGGAGGTGTGTGGTGGCCGCAGCAGGCCTTGGCCCTAGACGATGCTGGAGTTGTGCTGGGTCTCAGTGGGCGAGCATCGGCCTCGCGTGCAGAAGGTCCCCAGTTCAATTAGGCTTGCCGGCTCCGAGTTGAGAAATACCTGGAGATTTTGAAGGTGGAGGCTGGGAAAGGGGGTTTTGGGGGAGGGGAGAGACTTCAGTGGGGTCTAATGAGGGATGCCAGCCTCCAGGTGAGACCTGGGGATCCCCCGGAATTACAGCTCATCTCCAGACGACAGAGATCAGTTCCTCTGGATGCTTTGGAGGGTGGCCTCTATGTCGGGTTGCCAGGTCTGAGTTGGGAAATACCTGGAGACTCTGGGGGTGGATCCGGGAGAGGGCGGGGTTTGGGGAGGGGTGGGGCCTCAGCATGACGCAATGCCACAGAGTCAAGAGTTCTCTCAGCCCCACCTACCTCACAGGCAGTGTTCCCTCTAAGCTGAGTTCGTGTGAGCTAGCTCACAGTTTTTTTAGCCTCCGGCTCACACATGTTTGCCTTAGCTCAGGAAGGAGGGCTCCAGAGCATACTTATTGATGCAGAAGCCAAATCACCTGCTCACAACTTTAATGCCAGGAGCTCACAAAGTAGGATTTTTGCTCACAGGACTCCACAGCTTAGAGGGAACATTGCAACAGGGTGTCTGTTGTGGGGAGGGGAAGGGAAAGGAGTTTGTAAGCCACTCTGAGACACCTTTGGGTAGTGAAGAGCGGAGGATACATCCAATCTCTCCTCTCTCTCTCTCCTCTCCTCCAAAGCAGCCCTTTCCTCCAGGGGAGCTGATCTCTGTCAGCTGGAGATCAGTTGCCAAAGCGGGAGATCCCCAGGCCCCACCTGGAGGCTGGCAACCCTAACCTCTATGGCATTGTACCCCACTCCGGTCCCTGTCCTCCCCAGGCACCATCTCCAAATCTCCAGGAGTTTCCCAACCTGGATATGGCAACCATCCCCCATTCCCCTCCCCCAGTGGCCGGGGTTGACCTGGCAACCCTAGGTCTAATGCCTTACAAAAGCGTCCATTTTCTCCAGGGGAACAGACCTCTGCTGCCTGGAGCTCAGTTGTAATCCCAGGAGATGCCGGCTACTACCTGGAGGTTGGGAACCCTTGACGTCAATCCTTGGTGGCAGCCAGGGCTCTTTTTGTAGAAAAAGCCCAGCAGGAACTCATTAGCATAATAGGCCACACCCAACAGCAGAAACACATTAGCCTATTAGGTCACACCCCTGACAGCACAGCTCATTGGCATATTAGGCCTCCCCCCCAGGTTACCAGAAGTGTGCTCATTCAGCCACACCCACCTTTTGCTTCTTATTCTGTTTACCTTGTTTCCTGTCAAAACCCGGGGCTTTTTTTTGTAGCAGGGACTCCTTTGCATGTTAGGCCACACACGCCTACTGTAGCCAATCCTAATGAGTTTCTGCTGTTGGGTGTGGCCTATTATGCTAATGAGCTCCTGCTGGGTGTGGCCAACTTGGGAGCCAGCCAGAACTCCGTTCCTGTGCGTTCCTGCCCAAAAATAGCCCTGGTGGCAGTGCTTCCCATTAAAGGTGCTGGGAAAGAAACCTGCCCTCCCTGGGAGCCACTGCCCCTACCTGTCAATACCAGAAAGGCCCACGTTCATGTGAATGCAGCCACAGATGCGCTTCTTCTATCAGGGAGTCCCAAAGTGGTGGCCGTGGGCACCCTGGCACCTGCCACCCCCTTTCCTGGCACCCACCGAGTGGTTTTAGAAAGTGGGTGAGGCCAGGTAGGGCTTTGGCCCAGCAAGGCTTCGGATTGGCTAATGGCCACTGGGGTTCGGATCTTCCTTATGTGACTGAAGGTAAGCTGCCGCAGCCATTTTGTGGCTGGCTCTGCCTCTGGTGGCAGCCATTTTGTGCGGCTGACTCTGCCTCCTGTCTCGTGGCAGCCATTTTGTAGCTGTGTATGCATGCTGTGTCAGAATTCCAAAGGTGGCCACAGGCTCAAAAAGACTGGGGACCCCCGTGTGATGAATCTGGGGTGATGCCTGAGGAGGAGAGGGATATGCGTTGTGAAAAACATCACCAAGCAGCCATAGAGTTTTCCCTCCGATGGTCGTGGCCCTGCCCCCAGTGTGCCCAGCGTCCTAACGTCACTTCCTGGTGACACGCACGTCGGGGTGGGGGTCGCCTCGGGGGCTGATCCGCCGCCGCCGGGGAACGGGCCTCTGGGGCGGGGTTTTCCCCGCCCCCCGGGGGGACTTGGAAAGCCTACAGCTAAGCGCATGAGGACTAGAAGCCTGGACAACCGTTCTCGTGAGAACAAAGGCCCCGATTGGCTGCCGGCCCAGGTTTTCGATTGGCTGAAAGCCCTGTGTTTAACGGGGTGGCTGATGGTGGTGATGGTGATGATGGAATGCATGGTTAGGGAAGAGAGGGGCTGCGGGGAATGCGGGGGTGAGGGATGCCTGATTCTTTTGGGGGGCCTGGGGAACGCTGGGGTGAGGGAAGGGAGCTTGTGATTTGGGGAGGGAGTGATGGTGGTGGTGGTGGTGGTGGTGGAGAGGATGGTTATGATGCTCTGTATTCTTGGTGCTTGGGGTGGGAGGGCTTCTGGAGTTCTGGCCCCACTGCTGGACCTCCTGATGGCACCTGGTATTTCTGGCCACTGTGTGACACAGAGTGTTGGACTGGATGGGCCCCACTGGCCTGATCCAACATTGGCTTCTCTTATGTCCTTATGTTCTTAACACTCCCTGCTGGAAGATGGTTCCCAGCTCCAGCATTTCATCAATGAAAACAGGGTTGTGCCTGCAACCAGCCAGTGCTGGAGGGCACCATTCCGCCCACTCTTTGCTGGATCCATTTCCTTTGCAATCACCAAGGGTTGCCAGTCTCCAGGCAGGGCCTGGAGACAGAGTCCTCCTGGAATTCCAGCTGGTCTCAGGACCAGAGAGGTCAGTTCTCCGGAAGAAAATGGCTGCTTCAGAGGGCAAACTCTATGGTACATCATAGAGTCTAGGTGAAATTCCTCCCCACTGTCCCCAAATCTCCAGGAGCTGGCAACTCTCTGCTGCTCTCCTGTGACTGAAAAGCCAAGACCTGGAGGTTCTTTAGACTGAAGGCTTGCTAACTCTCTTTGCAGTTGCAGGAGGTGAAATGGTGGTTGTCAGTTCGTGCATGCGTTGGAGCGAGGTGCTTTGGCATTCATGTTTGTTAAATAGTGAGTTCCATGGATGAACAGACCCCAAGTATAGTGATCAGCTCTACTTTATTACTGATTTATTTATTTATATTTACATATATATCCCGCCCTACCCCGAAGGCTCAAGGCGGCTAACAAGGGCACTGTGTGCCAGGTTAAAACAATAACATATAATTTAAAAACAATAAATTACAATAAAATATCATAACAGATTACAACAGATTTAAGCAAGAAGGGGAGATCTTAACCTCACATAGCTACGTCCTACGATCTTGTCCAAGCACCTCGCTCCACCCTTGGGGCCAGGCACCAGATAGTCATGGTGATGGTGCGACGGTGCATAGATGGTACAGGTGGAATAGCGGCAGTGGCGGCTCCTACTCAAAAGCCTGGCGGAAGAGCTCCGTCTTGCAGGCCCTGCGGAACTGAGAAAGGTCCCGCAGGGCCCGGATCTCCTCCGGGAGCTCCTTCCACCAGGTAGGAGCCGCCACCGAAAATGCCCTAGTCCTGGTCGCAGCAAGTTTAACTTCTCTCGGGCCTGGAATTTCCAGGAGATGACACCCTCCCGACCGAAGTGCCCTTCAGCAAGGAGAAGGAAGACAAAATCCCAGGCAGAAGCCTGGTTTTTAAGCATGCAAAAAACCAGACCCCAAACACACACCCTCCCAACACTAGATAAATTTACATCACATTGTTTCTCTATTGGTCCATTCTAGAATCCTAGCCGACTATTGTTTTGTGGACGCAAGCTCAACCCGACCCCAGGGCTAGTTTAGGGTTGACTCATCATTAGTACGCAACAATGTTCTTGCCTGTATTTTTCTGATTGCAACTGTGCAGGTATATCAAGGGACCGGACACCCGTACCTTTGTACTAGACTGGGAACAACCATGCGCCGTTTCCTTTCTGGGCGGATGTTGTGGTGTGATCCATGTGCTCAGCCAGCCAGCCCCCCCCCAAATCAGGCTAACCCCCCTTCTTCCTTTCCCAGACTTATTTTCAGCCCGATAAAATTAGCCGTTCTAATCCCTCAGCTAAAAGAGGCTTGCGACTTAGCTGCTCACGGGCTCAGGCAGCGGGCCCCACAGAGAAGGTGTCAGAGCGCATCAGTATCACTACTTCCCAAGCCATGAGGGTGGCGGGATCAGGTGGGGCCATCCTGTGAGGTGAGCTGTGGGTGCCGCACCCATGGAGACCTCTCTCGCGTGCCTACGGTGTGAGCGGTCCTAGATGCATTGTCGGTGCTGGATCCCAAAGAGCATGCCAGAATCAATGCTCCCTCTAAGCTGTGGAGTCCTGTGAGCAAAAATTCTACTTTCAGGTGGGGCCATCCTGTGAGGTGAGCTGTGGGTGCCGCACCCATGGAGACCTCTCTCGCGTGCCGACGGTGTGAGCGGTCCTAGACGCATTGTCGGTGCTGGATCCCAAAGAGTGTGCCAGAATCACTCGCCTTTAATTCCCATACAGGTGCCATTGTAGCCTGATCTTGTAAGATCTCGGAAACTAAGCAGGGTCGGTACTTGGGAGACCACCAAGGAAGGCTCTGCAGAGGAAGGCGATGGCAAACCACCTTCCGGTTGCCACCAAGCAGAAGCTAAGCAGGGTCGGTACTTGGAAGGGAGGCCACCAAAGAAGGCTCTGCAGAGGAAGGCAAGGGCCATCCACCCCTGTTTCTCACTTGCCTTGGAAGCCCCTTGCTGGGGTTGCCACCAAGCAGAAGCTAAGCAGGGTCGGTACTTGGAAGGGAGGCCACCAAAGAAGGCTCTGCAGAGGAAGGCAAGGGCCATCCACCCCTGTTTCTCACTTGCCTTGGAAGCCCCTTGCTGGGGTTGCCACCAAGCAGAAGCTAAGCAGGGTCGGTACTTGGAAGGGAGGCCACCAAAGAAGGCTCTGCAGAGGAAGGCAAGGGCCATCCACCTCTGCTTCTTACTTGCCTTGAAAGCCCCTTGCCAGGGCTGCCATAAGTCGGAAGCTAAGCAGGGTTGGTACTTGGAAGGGAGGCCACCAAGGAAGTCTCTGCAGAGGAAGGCAAGGGCCATCCACCCCTGCTTCTCACTTGCCTTGGAAGCCCCTTGCTGGGGTTGCCATCAGTCAGTTGCCAGTCGATGGCACATACACACATACTGAAGAAGAGATGGGTGGTTTGGCCTCTCGTAATGCGAGGAGGATGAGAAGAGTTGGCCCCCCGGAAATGTCGAAACACGTCAGAATTATTTGGGTAGCAGTGAAGTGCCCTGAAAAGGGTGGGGTGGTCCACCTCTTATCAGCAGGTGTTGGAGGTGCGTGATATCTAAACTTGGCTCTGAAGCTTCAAACAACAGCACTTTGAGGACAACCTTGCAGGGAGGCCAGACCCAGCTGTCTTACCCATCCCTGGACTTCATTATGTGGCTCCTGTATGGCCAGGAAGCTAACTCTGGCCTTACATAGTGAGACAAGCAGTTTTGATGGCCCAAGGGTATGATTCAGTAGCCCTTTTTGCAGGTTACAACAAATGCATGCACTTCCATCCATCCATTCATTCATTGTATGGCAAAATTACACACGGGAAACAGAAAAATGCATGCACAATCTGTGTACGTTGTAACCTTGATTTTTCTTGATACGCATGTTGAACAATGCTCCCTCTAAGCTATGGAGTCCTGTGAGCAAAAATTCTACTTTGTGAGCTGCTGGCATTCAAGTTGTGAGCGAGCCATTTGGCTACTGCAGAAATGAGACTGTTCCGGAGCCATCCTTCCTGAGCTAAGACACAAATGTGTTAGCTGGAGGCTAAAAAGCTGTGAGCTAGCTCACATTAACTCAGCTTAGAGGGAAGACTGATTGTTGAGTAATTCTCATAGAATCATGCAGGGCTTTAGAAAAAGCCCAGCAGGAGCTCATTAGCATAACAGGCCACACCCAACAGCAGAAACTCATTCACATATTAGGCCACACCCCAGACAGCACAGCTCATTCGCATATTAGGCCACCCCCCCGTGCCTTCCCTTGGCTTGCCCGGGCAAGCCAGCCCTTGGAGGGTAGGGAAGGCAGTTTAAAGCAGCCCAGGCGAGCCAGCCCTTGGACAGGCCAGGGAAGGCATGGGGAGGCATTTAAATGCTTCCCCGATCCTTCCAGGGGTCCCCCTGGCCTGCCCACCTCGGAGTCGCCTAGGGGGGGTCACTCTCCAGGCTTACCCTCTGTAGCCACGCACACGCAGAGGTTTTGGCTGTAATGGGCGTGGTCAACTCTGAAGCTAGCCGAAACTCCGTTCCTGTGCGTTCCTGCCCCGAAATAGCCCTGGAATCAGAGTTGGAAGGGACCTCCACGGTCATATAGTCCAACCCCCGGCACAATGCAGGAAATTCACAAATACCTCCCCCCACCCCTCCACAGTAGCATCTTAGTCACCGACAAGATTTTCGGGGTATCTGACGAAGGCAGCCTTGACTCTTGAAACATGATACCCTGGAAACCTTTGTGGGTCTCTGTTATTGGACTCAAATCTTGCTCTTCTCTCCAACAGGTGGATGTGCGTACAGGCAGGCTGTACGTGTAACATGTGGCCAGGGCTAGAACGAAGGCAGCTTTGTGTGTCCAGAAGCAAGAGGTCCAGAGGTGGGAACTGATGGGCTTTTGCCCTCCCTGTGGCTACCCTGACCTGGCTAGCCTGCATCTCGTTAGTTCCCAGAAGCGAAGCAGGGTTGGCCCTGCTACATACTTGGATGGGAGACCAGCAAGGAAGCCCAGGGTAGCTATGCAGAGGCAGGCAATTGCAAACCACCTCTCCTTTGAAAACCCTATGGGAGGGGTGTCAAACATGCGGCCCAGGGGCCAGATGAGGCCCCCGGAGGGCTTCTATCAGGCCCGCAGTGGAAGTGGCTGCCTTCTGCTGCGTCTCCCAGTTCTGCTGCTGCTGTGTCATCGTAGGTTTGCAGCTTACGGATACACACCTGAACAGCGTACTCAAGATTGCAACAGCACAGAGATATTGGTGCAATAATTCAGAGCAAGAGGTGTCCGTGATCAGACACTGTTAAATAAACAAAACATTGCAAGAGTGCTAATGTTTTAAGCATGTTTTTATTTCAAGTTTTTAAAAGCCCTTTGTGTTTGTGTCCTTTATAAAAAGTTTGTATCTCCGCTACCTGGCATTTCATTTTATGACACACATGGGCCCGGCCCAACAAGGTCTCCTTTATGTCAGATCCTGCCCTCATAACAAATGAGTTCGGCACCCCTGCCCCTACGGGGTCACCATAGTCAGTCAGTCAGCTGCAAATTGTTGCCACTTTCCATCACCACCACCCGCTCCTCTGGCTAGCAGAAGAGAATGAGCTGTGCAAAGACACGCATATTTTAATCTTTCATCATATTATGTTTTAATCTGTTAAAACAGTTCTATTTCTATGTTGTGAGCCACCCTGAGCCCGCTTGTGGGATAGGGCAGGATCAAAAATCAAATCAATCCAATAAAGAAATTGGCCTTCCTTCAGAGGGCGTGGGGCGCTGCCGTTTCGGTGGGCACGGAGCCTGAGATGTGGGCAGGCAGAGCGCGGGTGACTCAGCACGTCTTGCCCATTCTCTCCCAGGGGGCGATTATGGAGCAGAGGATCTTGGCCAAGGTACACAGCCGCTTCATCGTCACGTTGGCCTACGCCTTCCAGACCAAGCACGACCTCTGCCTCGTCATGACGTTGATGAACGGCGGAGACCTGAGGTGAGAGCATGTGTCCCGTCCCCCCTCCCCAGCCCTCTTGCCTGGCACTGCCCGGGCGACTGCTGCCACCTGCGCAGGGATCCTGGGCCATCCCACTTGCTGGTTTCGCTGTCTAGTTCAGATGCCCGTGACAAATACAACTTCCCCGTAGCCTCGAGCAGGAGAAGCGCCCTGCTTAGAGTTGCTACCTCCAGGTTGGGAAATGCCTGGGAATGTTGTGGTGGCAGGAAACGGGCAATTGAGCGGGGGTTTCCCCGCCCCCCAGGGGGACCTACCATCCCTAACCACACCGCATCAAAATTCCAAAGGGCCCCCCCACAGGCTCAAAAAGGTTGCGGATCCCTGAGCAAGAGGGGTGCATGGCTGGACCCCCAACAAGACTCTGGGCCCAAGGACGGCCTGGCTGATCTGATGGGTTTTACCGGCCCGGCCTGCGTTGAACTCTGCGTGGCCGATGGCGTTCTTCAGGGTGGGGTTTTGGCCAGCGACCGGGGGGGGGGTGGAGACTGGTGGGCCAGGATTCCTTCTGCTCTCTCAAAGGGGGTGCTAGAGAGCCTCGATACCACGCCTGCCCCTTCGCACAACCTGCCCGCCTCTGGGTTGCCAAACCAAGACATTTGAGGGGGCCAAATTTGGCTGCTCCCTCGTGCAAAATATTGACACCATAATTCAACAGGTCCTTTTTAAATTTTAAGATTCAGTTTGTGCAAAGCAAATAATAATAATAATAATTTTTTAAAAAATCTCTCCCCCACAACGAATCTGTATTTTAAAATTAAGCTTTGAGAATTTTGGAAATTTGGGTAGCGATTCTGAACACTCTTCTTCCGCCTCTGTATGGAACTGCCTTTCTGCTTCCGAACGCTCTCTCCCTCCCCAGGTACCACATGTATAACGTCGATGAGAATAACCCCGGCTTCGAGGAACCCCGGGCGGTCTTCTACACGGCCCAGATTATCTGCGGCCTGGAGCATCTTCACCAAAACCGCATCATCTACCGAGACCTCAAGCCAGAGAACGTCTTGCTGGATGATGCAGGTAAAGTGACCCCAACAGGCCCGTAGGCAGGATTTTGTGGAAATCTTTTTCTGCTGGGGCTGAAGTTCTCAGTGCAGAAGGAAAAGCCGTTTAGCCAATAGAAAGCTGTTACCAGGCTAGAGCTCTCAATTGCAAGCTGTCAACCACTTTAGATGACAGTCCTCAGCTGCTGCAAGTTGATCACTTCTGCCAGCCTAAGCAACAATTGTGAGAACAAGCCGGCAGGTGGGGGTGATGATCTCTATAGTCAAGAAAGATAACACTTAGGCAGAAGAACTCTCTGAAAGGAGACCAGTTTCTTGACACAGAGTTAAAAGGGATCCTAGAGGTCACCCACTCCAACCCCCTTACTCAGTGTGGGAATTGGTCAACTACAGCACCCCACTCTGCTTAAAGGAGCGCACCCCTTATTTAAAAAGTTTTAAAATGATTGAAAAAAGCATTTAGAGGAGACATTCTTGTGGGGCTGTGCCTTTAAGAAAGGGGGCGGGGCTCCCCAAAGCCCCACCGTAGCTACCCAAATGTGGGGAGTCAGGAAGGCCCCCCAGAAAGACTCCCAGATCTGGTTTATCTGAGATGCAAAAGTCTGGGTTTGCTAACTGGTCAGGAAAAAAGACCAAACTACACAAAGCTGTCTGATACTGAATCAGACCCTCGGTCCATCCAAGTCAGTATTGTCTACTCAGACTGGCAGCTGCTCTCCAGAGTCTCAAACTGAGGTCTTCCACATCAACTCCTTTTAACTGGAGATGCTAGGGAGTGCACCTGGGACCTTCTGCATGCCAAGCAGTGGCTCCACCACTGAGCCACGGCCCCTCCTAAGAATTAATTTTTACAACATTCCCAATTGTGGATAAGATTGGATTCAGAGGAGGGTATTTGAATGGGTAATATTTTCCCTTTTGCCCTCAACTGAGTGCCCCAGACTATCTCAGTCTCATCAGATCTCTGAAAATAAGCGGGGTCAGTTTGGTGTAGCGGTTAAGTGTGCGGACTCTAATCTGGGAGGACCGGGTTTGATTCCCCACTCCTCCACTTGCAGCTGCTGGATGGCCTTGGGCAAGCTGTAGCTCTGATAAGAGCTGTCCTTGAAAAAGAGCAGTTTCTGCCAAGAGCTCTCTCAGCCCCACCCGCCTCACAGGGTGCCTGTTGTGGGGAGGGGAAGGGAAAGGAGTTTGTAAGCCGCTCTGAGACTCCTTCGGGTAGTGAAGGGCGGGGTAGAAATCCAATCTCTTCTCTTCTTCTCCTTCTCCTTGGATGGGAGACCACCAAGGAAGTCCATGGTCGCCATAAGTCACCTTCGACCTGACCGCCCTTCCTGCCGCCACCAATCTTTTTTGTTTAGCCAAAGAAAATCAGAACTGCCTTCTGATTTTTTTTTTTTAGTATCAGCACTGCAGAAGTCTGTTTTAAAAATCAGGTTTGGTAGTTTGAGATTAGGATTTTAATGATTGACCCAGTTTCTGCATTTTTTAAAAAGATCCTTTTTCGTATTTAATACCCAATCCTTTCCGGGTGCCTGATCACACTTCCTTCCCCTCCAGGGCATGTTCGCATTTCAGATTTAGGCTTGGCAACCGAAATACCAGAGGGGCAAGAGAAGACCAAAGGATTTGCAGGCACACCAGGTGAGTATTTGGGGAGCAGGCCCTGAAGGGAGCTGGGGGGGGGGGCTGGGGAAAGCATTCCCCAACAGGGTCCCGAATTCTGCTTTCTTCCTTCCCACCTGCAGGATTTACGGCTCCAGAGCTCCTGAAAGGGGAGGATTATGATTTCAGCGTGGATTACTTCACTTTGGGTGTAACTCTGTTTGAAATGATTGCAGCAAAAGGAGCGTTCCGGAGCAGGGGGGAGAAGGTATGGTTCCCTTCCCCACACACACACACACCACACGGAAATGACTAAATGAGTAACCGGCAGCTCCAGACGAATGTTCAGAAAATTCGGCAAATGATGTCAACATGGCAGCCTATCTCCTGATGTAATAATAATAATAATATTTCAATGTATTAATCGCTCAATCTTGCTGGTGCTGGCTCTGAGCGATTTACAGTTACACATTCACAAGGGGCTAATAGTGATTCATAGGGGTAAGGGAGGACAACATATATATAAGTCTTTATATTGCACACGTTCGCAGCCGATGGGGATTTTTTGCTCAGTTCTAAACTCAGACATGTTCCAGACGGCATTTTCCAGACAGCATTTTTTCCACTCGGCATGGCTTGATGACGTCGGCTTCTTTCTCCAGGACTCTTCGGGTTGCAGCGCCGCACTGCCACCGCCTGGCCGGAATGGCCCATTACAGGCTTCTTGATGCCGAAGAGATCTTCTAGGCTTCCGATCTTACGAGCTGAACATTCCGTTCGCCGGCTAACACCTCCCCCACCGAGAGGGTTTGGTGTGCCTACCCTCTCTAAGGAGTGGTACCCATTTTATCTACTCGCCAAAGCTTTCGAACCGCTGGGTGGACGGCGAGCTGGGGACAAGGCTGGTAGCTCACACCAGCGCGGGGCTAGAACTGACAGCCGTTCTGTTCAGCTCAGATGTTACTTGTAACCAGAGGATAAATCCCCTGTGCCACCGCTCCAAGTTCAGGGACGGCTCCCGGTTCAGGAGGACCCTTGAGAGCCACTTCTCCTTCTCTGACCCCCACCGGAACCCCCACTCATGCCTTCTTTCCAGCCCGCCCACCTCCCTGCGTGTCTGTCCTTTCCCTGCCCACTTGCAGGCCTTCGCACTGGCTATATGTCCTTTCCCTGATGCTGCCGGCTGGTGTCTGCAGATGGGAAAGCCACTATTGTGCCTCCACCATAGAGCCCACCCTCCAAAGCAGCCATTTCCTCCAGGGGAACTGATCTCTGTCATCTGGAGATCAGTTGGAATTCTTGGAGATCGCCAGCCCGTACCAGGAGACTGGAATTCCAAAAACAACACCCGTGACAAGAATAACAAAGAGTCAATAAAGATAAGTTGCAAAAACGTTCACTGTAGTACTTTCTGTAGAAAATTTTCTTCTATTATCGCTCACACGCTAACGAATACTGCGCAATGAACAATCCGTTTCACAATATTTGCTTTATCTGAGCGTGTACCAATCCCAATTCTTAGCAATGACTACTTATCAACTCTTGAAGGAAACATTCCAGGTTGGCTGTCTAATAACAGAATGTTTCCTTCAAGAGTTGATAAGTAGTCGTTGATAAGAATTGGGATTGCTACACACTCAGATGAAGCAAATGTTGTGAAACGAATTGTTCATTGCGCAGTATTCGTTAGCGTGTGAGTGATAATAGAAGAAAAATTTCCACAGAAATTACTAAACGTTTTTGCAACTTATCTTTATCGACTCTTGGTTATTTTTGTCACGGATGTCGTTTTGAGACTGGCAACCCTATGCCAGTCAGATGACTTTCCATCACAATGTGCATTGGTGTCTTTAGCAGAACCCCAAATCTTCCTGCTGCATATCCAAGAACATAAGCAGTGCTCAAGTTGGGGGGGAGGCGTGTGGAGGAGGCCTGCCCCCTAAATTTTGTGGCTGCCGCCCCCCAGCTACCGTTTTTAAAGATTTTAAAGCTGGAAAATCTGAAGATTAAAAAAAAAAAAAGTCTGGCCAGCTCTCTCTGCTCTACAAGCCTTGCAGTTGTTATTGTTTTTTTAAGGGAAATCTATAATTGATCAAACCAAGAGCGTAATGATATCCCGAAGCAGTCTAAAGGCAAGAATACAGAAACAGGAAGCAGCGAAAGGCAAAAGATTGTACAGAAAACATATATAGCTGAACCCAATGCCTAGACAATTTTTTTTTTTAAGTCTGGCATCCCCCCTCAGGACGAAGGGCCCCTCTGCCCCCCGTTTCTTGTTCAAGCATTGGGACAAAAAGCCTAACAGTGTGTGGGTCAGGGGACAGCCAGGGCGGGAGTTCCCTAAAGCCCCTATTTCTCTGCATCCACCGCAGGTCCAGGGTGTCTGTTGTGGGGAGGGGAAGGGAAAGGAGTTTGTAAGCCGCTCTGAGACTCCCTCGGGTAGTGAAGGGCGGGGTATAAATCCCATCTCTTCTCCTTCTTCTTTTTTAAAAGTCTGGCATCCCCCCTCAGGACAAAGGGCCCCTCTGCCCCCCGTTTCTTTTTCAAGCATTGGGACAAAAAACCTAACAGTGTGTGGGTCAGGGGACAGCCAGGGCGGGAGTTCCCTAAAGCCCCTATTTCTCTCCATCCACCGCAGGTCGAGAACAAGGAGGTGACCCGCCGCATCCTGCATGAACCTGTGGTGTACAATGAAAAGTTCAGTCCCGAGTGCAAGTCCTGCTGCGAGGGGCTGATGGCAAAGGACCCTGCCAACCGCCTCGGCTTCAAAAACAACAACAGTTCTGAAGTTAAGAACCACCCGCAAAAAAAAACCAAAAAATGAACTGGAACCGACTGGAGGCAGGTGAGAACCTCTCGTTCCACTACGGGGCCTAGCATGGGTGGGGTGAGGCGGGTCCCTTCGTTTCCCTCTGCTTGCTCCAAGCTGCCAAGCCAAAGCTGGGCTCCGTGCAACCCCCCAGCCCCTCTGCCAATCAGAGGCAGGCTGCAGTCAAGCAGCCAGCTTGCTTTTGTGTGTGTGTGTGTGTGAGAGAGAGAGAGAGAGAGAGAGAGAGAGAGAGAGAGAGAGAGAGAGAGAGAGAGAGAGAGAGAGAGCAGATGAACTTTGCAAGAGGTTACCTGCAGCTATTGTCAACAACAGGTCATTTTGTAGAAAAAGAGGTGCAGGAGCTCATTTGCATAACACCAGGGGTCATTTGGGGGGGGGACGCGGGGGGACGCCA